ACGGTGCTCAATGCCCTACACAGGGCTTGGGGACCAGGGTCTCACGATGCTAAACCAGGGCCAGCTCCTCCCTGGACCTCCACCCAGTCTTCCACATCCCTGCCCCTTGGTCCTTCCTCCCTGCTGGCACGGCCTTCTTTGTAATTCAACCTGGTCTTCAGGATCCTAAGGGGCCTGGTCACTCTGGCCAGTCTGGGGTCCTGAGGCATCTCCTACAAGTCCTTAACTCGTAGTGGCCCCCACCTGAAGCTAGGCCCGGGACTGCCCTACTGTGTCTCTGCCCAGAACCCATTAGTAGGGGGCTCTGCACCTGCCAATGGCCCCCAAGAAGGCTCCTGGCTGGCAAGAACAAGGCTTGATATTGAACACGGTGGGCAACAGCCCTTAAAGAAAGGGAAGGAAATTTGGAAGGGTCCCACCTTGGAAGGGATAGAGAGCTATCCTGGCTATAGCCTTACAAGGGGAGGTATGTTCAAGGGGATCCATCAGCACCTGCCTGCTGGGGCTGTCTAGGAACATACTTGCCATCAGGACCTAAGTTTCGGGAAAGTAGAAACCTCCCCAGCTTCCCAGCACCAGGAGGTAGAGGCAGCCCAAGGCCTGGCCGGGGTGGACACAGCCTACCTGTGCTCAAAGACCAGCTCTGCCCCCAGCACAGAGCTCAGTACCTCTGTACGTCTGTCTTCCCAAGACCTCCCTCATTCAGTGACCTCCTCCAGAGGGTTTCAGGATGAATTTACAACAGGCCCTGGCAGACAGTGCACCCTCAAGAGGAGTCTTATGTTACCAGGAACTGAGACACACAAATAAAGAACCAGAGGGGGACAGGGAAGAACAATCCCATGGTCAGAGTGGACCACAAGGGAAAGATGGCACAGGGTCAAATCCAGATTTTAGAAAGTGACAAAAGGAGCTGGATGTGGCACCAGGCCCAGCAGGAGGCAGCACCAAGCACTGTGTGTGGGGGTCCCAGGGCCTGGTCCCCTGGCAGGGTTGTTGTGTGGTCTTGGGCAAGCTGCTTTGTCTGCTAAGGTTGTTGTTCTAGCAATTTGGAAGGAGTCTACCTGAATAAGCGTTAGAGTAGCAACCTAGAGATAGATGAGATTGTGGGCTCTCTCTGACCCGCTCCTCCTAGCCTGGGAGGCCTCACATCTGCAGGGGAATTCCGAGCTGGGCTGGAGAGCGGGAGGCATTACACAGCAAGGCCTGCAGAAGCTGCCAAGGTGGCCAGGGACTCTGTAGGGCCCTTGTGTGGAGCACTGGGTGCTTTACTTGTGTAGGACAGGGCGAAAAGGCAAAGACAATGGGAGGGATGTGGGTAGCCTTTCTGCAAAACTTCCTGATTCAAGGCTTGAGGAAGACTCGGAATATTCTTTTCTGTATTCTCACAGGGAGGTGACCTCTTTGTGCACCTGGGTCGAGGACAAGGGATTTTTCCTTCCTCCTTTTGGTGGTTGGCTCTGAACATGCAACTGTGGATGAATGGAAGCCGCATGCATGAATGAGTGAGAACTTGGGTCTGGGGACTGCAACAGGCAGCGGCCATCAGATCCAAGGATACAGAAGCTGAGATCCAGACAGGCCAGTGACTGAGACACGACACCTCCTACCACTGAGCCTCAGTTTCCCCTCAGTGGGATGGAGACCTAAACAATTTCGGTCACAGGATGCTTGTGGGATAAAAGGGACAGGAGGAGCCATGATGACACTTTGAAGGTCAAGTCCTGGCATTTGGGTGAGCGGGGTGCTCCTGGAAAGGGCTTTGCAAAGGAAGACAGGAAAATGGTGGAGGAGACATGCTGTCTGAGGTCAAGGGCAAATGCTGGAGGAGAGAGGTCCCCTTCACGGCAGGAGTGTGCTGGCAGCCCCTGTCCCAGCACCACAGCCGGCAAGAGCCAGCGGGGCTGACATCTGGCCCCCAGGGCCTCTTCAGAGTTCTCCCCAAACTCCAGGAAGAGGCAGAGAGGCAAAGGAACCCCATGCCCACAGCTCGGGTGCTGCTGGAACCCAATGGCTTCACTTACACAGCTCCTCTCTGGAGCTGGAGCTCCAGGAACGGAACTCAGGCATCCTGTGAGAAATCATGAGCATCCTAAGGCAGTGGTGGTGAACCTACGGCACGAGCACTGCAGTGGGCTATTTGTTATCACCAAAAGCTCTAAAAGGTTCACCATTATTGTCCTAAGGGCTTCTACTAGGTTCACTGTCTCAGAAAGTGGCAGAAATAAAAATAAGAGACTACCAAACTTTTTTTTGTAGTACAGATTGAATCCAGGGCTTTTGTACTGAATGAGAGCCCTATTTTTAATTTTGAGGCAGGATCTTTCAAAGTGGTCCAGGTTGGGATCAAACTTGCCATCCTCCTGCCTCTGCCTCCCAGAAGTGCTGGGATTACAGGTGTACAGTGCTACATCTGGCAAAAGACCTGCAAACTTGCTCTTGGTTATAAGACTCTTTGAATTTCAGACCTGAGAAGAACATCAGTTTGAAACTTCACTTTTATTCCATGACCTCTCATATTTGGATTAAACTACAAGTACTGCATATCAATTTAGGATTATCAGGCATACTTGGTAATCTATAAAGACTGTTTCCCATGGCAGATAAGCAGGAAGTGCCCCTATTTTAGCAGTGGCCAGTCAGGTACTTCTGGGGTATCTGGGCTTATTGGAGCACACAAATCCCAGGCCATGGATGGCCATCAGTTTGAAGGTAGAAACACTCAAAAATTAACATGAAGAATGGGCTGGGGATTTAGCTCAGTGGTACTGTGCCTGCCTCAAAAGCGCAAGGTCCTGAGTTCGATCCCCGGTACTGGAAAAAAAAATTAACAATGAAGAAAATTTAATGAAATCAATTGCATGCACCTGGCATCTGGCTTTTGAATTTTTTTCTTCTACCTACCTGCCTCTTTGTACGATAACAGGTCATTTTTATCCTTGAACACGGGGATGACAGATGGAGGGACAGGCAGAGGTATACAGGATGGGAACTGCAGCCTGGAGGGGAGGAGGTTATTCTGAGGGCACTATATGCACATTTGAGGTGCGGGTCCACATGTCTGTCTAGGAATAGGGTCTTTTTTGGGGGCGGGGGGAGTATAGTGGATTGAATTCACGGCCATCTCACTGAGCTACATCCCCAGACTTTTTTTTTTTTTTTTTTGAGATAGGGTTTTGCTAAGTTGCCAGGTTGGGCTCGAAATTGTGATCCTCCTACTTCAGCCTTCCACAATGCTAGGTGGAAGGGTGGGTGTCACCACACCCAACTTGGGATGAGAACTGTTTGCAGCCCACGCCCAGTGGCCTCGAGGTCCACAGCAGCCTTTGCTGGGTGACTCAATGACTGGGTGACTCAATAATGACTGGCCCAAGTGTACCGGGGATGCCCTGGGAGACTCCTGTAATCCCGCCTGCCCTGTGCCCACAGGCCCCAGACCCGGAAGTTGCTGCTTCCTGCTATCTGTGGCCATGTCTCTGGCAGCATGTGGCTGGGTAACCTCTCCTTCCTGCCTACAGCCCTCCAGACCCACAAAAGAAAGCTCAGTGCCGAGAAAGCTGTGTGTAAAATAAGTCAGTGGTCACACCTGGGCTCATCCACGTTTTTCTGGACCATGAAGGCCTTGAACATGGGGCTGAGCTGCCTCTTTGCAGACTTTGTGGCCTCCCCTGGGTTTGGGGATAGAGATGGCTGTTGAGTCTGGACAAGCAACAGGTTCCTGATCTGTGATGCCAAAGCCCAGTGGCTGTTCCTTCAGAGCATGCTTTCTTATCCTACACTGAAGGGACCACCAAATCTAAGAGGGTCACTTCCAGCATGTCCATCTTCCCATCATCTCGTTTTTGTTGTTTTTTTTTTGGTACCAGAGATCGAACTCGGGACCTTGCGCTTGGGCGGCAGGTGCTACAGCCACTGATCTAAATCCCTGGCAATCTCATGCTTCTTAACTGGAGTCAGCATCTCTGAGTTCCCCATTATAGGGATAACCAGCTCCTTCTTCCCTACAATGTCCCCACTCAGACAGGCTTTCCGTGCCACCTGCCTCTGGGTCTGGGGCCCTCCCTAGCTGTCCTCCTGGCAGCCAGCCGCCCCTCTGGGCCTCAATTTCCTCCTCCATAATAATAGCTCCTACCCTACACAGTTGTTAGTTAAACAAGCTAAGACACAGTGCTGGCCAAGTGCTATGGAATTGTCCCTTGTCACTGTCCTGGGTAACATTCCATCAGCACTCTGTAAGCTTGGAAGGGCAGAGCCCTCCCTGTCTCCTTTGCGGGTGCTGGGGCAGGGGTGGGGAGCAGGGCCTGGAGCACAGCTCTGTCCTAATGCGACCCCTGTGCTCTAAAACCAATCCTGTTCATCACAGGCTGAGGCAGGCTCCGCCCACACCTGTTCTCCAGCTCTCTGCAGCTCTGTGAGAGCTCAGTTCCCCGGCAGCCCCCAGCTGAGACCCCAAGGGTGCAAGATCTGACCAAAGCTGGAGCCCCTAGGAGCTCTGCAGCAGCTCCACGCTGTATCTCTCTGAGGAGCAGCCGCCCTCCAGCTCTATGGAGGCCAGAGCAACTCCCCCACTTCACATCTCTGAGCAGCCATGAGGGGGCCTGGGCAAGGCCTGGGGAGGGGCCTTGAAGGGGGACCCAGTGGGAGGGGAGAAAGAGGAGGCAAGGTAAGAAGGGGGTTCAGTTCTAAGGTGCCAGTACCAGACCCTGGGAGTGAGGGCCCACACCCCCACTGCGCCAGCGACAGCCCTCTCTTCTCCCAGAAAACTTTGTCCTTTAGTCAAACTCCTCATGGGCGAATTCCGTCCCCACGGATCTCTTGACGCGCTGGGTCCGGCCCTCAGGAACGTGGTAATTATGGAGGACGTCAGGAGAGGGGCCCCCAGGCCTGAGACTTGCTCCGCTCCGTCGCACACCCCGGGCCCCCACCTCCACCCCGACTCGCCCAGGCGGCGGGAGACGGGGTCCAGCTCTAAAGCAATCTCGACCGACCAGCGCCCGCTGCTGCCCGGCGTGGAGCGTTCAGTCGTGCGTGGCCTTGCGTCCCGGGCAAGGCGGACACCCGGCCAGGTGGGGCCCGGGGTTGGACCCCCACGGGGTGGCAACCCCACGGGGTGGCGGTGCGGTGGGACCGGACGGCTGCCTGTCACCCTTCCCCAGTGTGGCGGCCAGTTTGGCTTCCGCCCTTGACCCCTCACCCCATCTGGCTGCCCCACCGGGTACCCCTGGCCGCTTGCCTGGGAAGGAGGGACCCGCCTGGGGCCCCGACCATGCGCTCTAGCTCCGGCTGCTAGCTGGGGCGGGGTGCGGACTGGCGCGGGGCGCTGCGTTTCGCAGGGTGGGCGCCGGGCCCCAGACGCGCGGAGCCCGAGCTGGGCGCTCGCTCTTGGCTTGGCCCCCGCAGACTGCACCTGGGCCGCACGTGCGCGGGTGGGCGCCCGGGGAGGCCTCGCTGCCGCCCGACCCCGCCCTCCCGGCGCGGCGCAGGTGCGCGGCCTCCCCGCACTCACCGTGCCTTCGGACGGCAGGTAACCAATGTCTTCGATGGCGCAGATGTTAATGATGTGAACGCTGCGGTCCTCGGCCGGGAGCGTCGAGTACTTCTCATGGACCCTCATTGTGGCCGCCTGTCCGCGGGGACCGCCGGGCGGCGCGCCGTCCCCATCCACGGCCCCGGCGGCCTCTGCAAGCGGAGACGGCAGAGATCGCGGCGCGCTCTTAGGGGGCCGGGCCTTCCCGCGCCCTGGCCCGCAGGGGACGTGGCCACCTCCCGCTCCGCTCCGCCCGCCCTCGGCCCGCCCGGCCCGCGCACTGTGCGGGTGCGCCCGACCCTCCCCCGGGGCCGACCGTGCCTCCACCTGGCTGGGAGTCCCCAGGGCGGCCGGTGAGCCTGCTCGGGAACTTGGACGCAGGCCTGCCGCCTTTCCTTAAAGATATAAACGCACTCCGCCCGCTTATGGCAGGGGCGGCGGCCGCGGGTCAGATTTTCCGTAGAAATTTAAACACAGGAAGAAAGTATTTCATTCCTGCGGCCCCTCCAAGTTTTATTTTTATCCGGGGTAAGTGCCCCTTTGGGTTTTTGTAGAGGGTGGAAAGGGTTTTCACAGTAGGGGGAAACTTCCAGTGGCCCCCAAATTAAATAAAAGGGTCGAGCTAGCTAGCATCTGGGGTACACTTAGATGGAGGGAGAAGGCCCTAGATTGAAGCCAAGAAAGTTCTTCCTGCCCTTTCCCCCTCTACCCCTGGCACACTCCTGCCTGGATCGCCCACCTACTCTGAGTCCCTGGCCACTTTCATCTCTCTGGGGCCCCTGATACCTTGTGGCCCCACTTAAGTGGGGAGCTTTTTGTATTGGGCGGCCAGGCATGCACAGTCCCTCCCACTGGTGGACAGCCTGCAAGGGCAGAATGCTGCTCCTTCTTTTGCAGAGTGGGCCTGAGGCTAAAGAATCTTAGGCCCAGGAGCAGTTTCTCCTCCTCAAGGCAGAGTGGTGGCTTTTGCAGAGTTGGACAAGCTCTGCGGTCTCCCAGAGGAAGGGAGGATGGCTTTGATCTCCGGTGCACACAGTAGGTATTCCTCGGCAGGTCTTCAAGCCTCCCTCTCTGCAGAAGGAGGAGGAGGAAGCAGGTTTCAGGGGCAGCGGCCCCGCCCTCCGCCCTGCCCCCCCCCCCGGCTGAGCCCCCCAGGGGCCACACTGGCAACCTGGTCCCTGGAGATGTGGAGACCCTTTCCTTGGCCTCCCAACATCCTGTTATTTCCTGGCATGCATCAGATCAGCTTCCTGCAGGAAACCATCCTGGATCCCTCCTCCCAAGCAAAGGGACCCCTCTCTCATTACCCAAGGACCCACAGGAACTCAACTGCTGCACTTCCTCTCCTCCTTCTCATCTGATAGTGGGTCAGCTACAGGTTCATACAGCTGTTGCTCAATAATTGCTTGTGGCATGGCCACTTAGGAACCCTCAAGGCTTCTAGAAATTGACTGTAAAGTTGCCTTTTAGGGTCACACCGTTGCCATCAGCATGCCATGGTTCCCAGGGTGGGATCAGGAGTGAGACTGGATGGGGTGGGGGACACGGGGTGTGTCTAGCTCTGGTGCTTTCCAGCCTCATAGCCCTTCTTGAACCCCCTCAGCCTCACAGAACCCTGTTCTTCTCAAGTGAGCGCTAAACTTGCAGCACAGCGACACCACGGTGTGCTTGGCCATGGTGGCCACTGTTCCTACCATTACCCTCGCCACTGTCATCACCCCCTCATTCTTGCCAATGAGGCTGCCTCATTCAGGCACAAGTTGTTGAATTCTTTGAATGTGGTGGGTGCAGGAAGGCTGCTTGGTCCATGGGCTGGCCATGCCAATAGGTCCCAAGTGCCCTAAGGGACCCTTGGTCTGCATCTTGGACAGCAAAACAGGGTTGGAGAAATGCCCTGAGCTGTTCATATCACCGCCAGAAATATCCTCCCTGTCCTCTGCCGTGCCAGGGAGACTGGTCCCTAAGAATTCAAATTTTTAGGTTTGGGAAGATCTCACACACACACACACACACACACACACACACTCACACACCCGCACACACACGATTATGTAACTTCATCTTCCTTTCCTTGTTGGTAAGCAGCTGACATTGTGTAACCCTAATATGGCATTTTTCTAAATATATGTTTACATGGCCAAGAGTCTCTCAGAGGGCTATGAGGTGTCATTTTCCAAAAAAAAAAAACAGTAAAAACATAATCGGTCAGGGCTGGAGGTGTGGCTCAGTGGTAGAGCACTTGTCCCACATGTTTGATGGTTCAATCTCAACACTTAAAAAAAAAGGCATGCATGTGTGTGTACACACATGCATACACACACACACACACACACACACACACAGTCAATTCTGGATACGCTGATTTTACCAAAAGTTTGGGGAGTGACATAGACTGCTGACTTGAGAGGCTCGGACTGGCATGGTCCACATGGCTTCATTCCCAAGACCCCTGGGGGCTGCAAGGTGGGGACAATCTCTTAGACATGACTGCTCCCTTCCTCCTTCCCAGACAGGGCTATATTTAACCTCTTGTTTCTGTGATTCGTACCTCAACCAGGTTTGATATTTGCATGTCTGTAAGACACATCCTCTGTCCCCTGGCCAGGAAGTTTCCTCTTGTTCACACCTATCCTTGCATTCTGCTCCTGTCCCCCCATCCCCACATTGCCCTAAGTGGACAGTGTGGCGATGCTCCTGCAGATGCTGTTGAGGAAAGCAGGCTGCCCTCAGCACAGCAAGGGTGAGAAAGGACCAGTTCTATCTCCAGACCACCTGTCTTCGGCCACCTGTCTTAGGTCTTCAGATTTCAGGAGTCAACAAAAAGTACATTTAGTTCCCCCAAATCAGGGAGGGAGAAGAGCATTCCTCCAAGTTGAGCTGTCTCCCAAGTCAGGACTGGTTTCCAGGGTCCTTTTTGTTCTGAGATGAGTCACTTGCCAGCTCACTGCCCCGTCTTCATGACCCTGCTCTTGGGCTCTGTCCTGCGAGTCACTGGGTGCTTATAAACTGGCCCTTTCCATAAACTATGGCATTCATCTTACATTGTTAACTTTTGGACCCTGTTATCTTCATCCCCAATAACCCAAAGGGACAGATTTTGCCAGCAGGATTAATTTCCTGCTCATAAATTAGTTAAAAAAAAAAGTCGAAGCCAGGTGTGGTGGCATATACCTGTAATCGCAGCACTCTGGGAAGTTGAGGCAAGTTCAAGCCCAGCCTGGGAAACTTAGAAACTTGGTGAGATTCTGTCTCAAATGAAAAAGAGCTGGGGATATAGCTCAGTGCCAAAGCCCCTGGGTTCAATCCCTGGTACCACAAACAAATAAAACAAGTCTAATTTAGTCTGAATGGTGCGTTTTATCTTGGGAAGTTCTGGACCTCACTGCTGACCCTATTTTGCCTTGTTGCCTTTTGGATTGTTTGAGGCCATGCACTGACAGACACCTGTATCTTTGCTGACATTTTAATAGTTCCTAGGGGAATATGGGGAAAGTGACTAGGGTTCATTCAGGAGATGAGACTGCCTTCTCTTTTCACAGGCAGCCGTCCCAAGAGCGTTTTCATCTCCTTCTTTGGCACTGCCCACACAGAAGGCCTGCCCGCCTCAGGGCACATGCCTGCACTCACCTAGCCACCTGTGACTCAGGGAGAAGTTGAACAGATTAGACTTTACAAAGTGAGACAGAAGGAGGCACTCTGAATAACGGGGTACAGGGCCTGTTTATCGTGCTTATGAGCCCAGACAAGAATCCAGCTCCCCCATTAATTGGCTGTGAGGTCTTGGCATGCCTCAGTTTCCTCTTTGGTAAAACAAGACACTTTTGAGGGGGGAGGCTGTGGCACTGAATGGGACCATGGATGTTCAGACCCAGCTGCGGTGAGTCCTGGGTTAGGGACTGTTCCAGCAATGATCTCTTCCAATAGGGTGCTTTAGGGCAGCCTCTCAGCCTCAGCATCCTTGACATTTGGCCTGGGAACATGCTTTGATGAATGGGCTGTCTTGTGTGCTGTGGTTGTTCAGCAGGCTCCTTGGTGACCTTTACCTACTAGGTGCTGTAGCACTTTCTCCCCCCAATCCCAGTGTCTCTAGATCTTGTCAGATGTACCCTGGGAGCAAAGTCACCCCCAGTTGAGAACCACCCTCACATGGCCACTCACAGAAGACCTGAGAGGCTGATTTTATCACTGCATGTTTCACAGGTGATCACAGCTGGTCTGAAAGGGCTGATGTACTCTGCTGAAAGGTCAGGCAGGAGGGGGGGACCCTGAGAGCACAGATCACTGTGAATCCAATGTGCAGGTACACACATAGTACACATGCACACACACACACACGTGGAATTAGGGAGGTCTTTTCACAAAGCGAAGCCGAGCAGGTGAGCAGGTGGCCCCCACGTGGTGGAGGTGAGGGTGCCCAGTTCCCAGGGTGCCAGTCCTGTACAGAACAGCTTCCTGCCCTATTCAGCCTTCCGAATCCAGAGGGGCTCAAGTGCCACTGACTCACAGGCAGCAGAAGGGTAGGGATCGCAGCATGGGAGAAATGAGCTGCCTATGACTCAGGGCCATTGGGAACGCCAATCTGTTCCCGCTCCCACAGTGGCTTTGCACTGGAGGGCATCCCGAGGGGGAACAGAATGGGTGCCAACAGGTAGATGACATAACCTGTTAAAAGTGACATGGGTTGTAATGATCCCCAGGGAAAGACATGCCTGGGGGATCCATCACTGGGATATGCTGGCCTGGAGACTGGACCACTGTCATTTCCTTCCCTCTATGACATCAGCACCCGCCTGGCAGAGGTTGCCCAGCTGCAGCTTGCTGGGCGACTCCAGGCTCGGAAACCGCCAGCCTAAATTCTGGAGTGCAGCCAAAGCATGAAGTTCTGTCTGGGAGTATTTTTTTCCTCCTACAGAATCCATGAAAAGTTTCAGTTTCCAGAGGAGGGTTCAGCTCTTGGGGTGTTTGGTTACCCAAGGCCTGCTCGCTGAGAATTCCTAAGAAGTTTAAAAACACACCCAGGGTGGGTCGGAACCTCGCCAGCCACCCGCCACCTCCTCCAGGAAGCCTTTCTTCTAGGGCTCAGCCTCTGACTCATCTCTGGCCCGCCCAGCCTGGCTGGGGCTCCTGGCTCTGTCCAGGCACCTGGGCTTGCTTCTGCCCAGCATGCTCATTAGTTCTGCACTCTTCACCTTCTTTTCAACCTGCAGCACCTTACGCATTTTCTCTGTTTATCTTTGTTTATTTAGCAAGCAGTTGTACAGTGCTTACTATGAACCAGCACCATGCTAAGCTGTTTACAAATATTAACTTGGTCTTACAGTGATTACAGCCCTCTGAGAGTGGATTTGCACCCAGGCTTTTCCTGGGCCTTTCTTTGGAAGATTGAGGAGAGATTCAGGTCAAATCTCACACAGCTTCCTCTGTTCCACTGATTCTGCAGGCATGGTGGATGCTCTGGCATCAGAAATGCTGCCTGGACCTCCCTGCAGAAGGATGCACCTGACCACATTGCCCAGGCAGGGTGTGGAAACTTCCCACCCCAGGGGGAGCAATGCCCTCTTCTCGGGCATCTCTCAAGCGAGGCTTGAAAGAATAAAAGATCTCCAAGCCCTCCTTGCAGTGGCCTGGGCATGGCTCTCCAGGAGAATGAAGGCCTCCCCAGGTAGGTGACATGCACCTGTTCTGTGCCACTGAGCTTCCCTGGCTGTGAACAGTCTCCCCAGGTCTGATGCAGCTGCTACAGACAGGGAATGGTCACGGCCCCTGCGGTGTACAAGGTGACCAGGCCCCAAGGCCATGGAGCTAGGAGGGGACTTGGGGCTCCTGAACACATTGAGAGCCCCCCTCACACACACAGCAGCCTATGTTAGCTTTCTCCACAGAGTATAGGGCATGAGCTCCCCAACCCTGCATGGCTTCCTGGGGCCCATGGCCAGGCACCCCATTAACTTCCCTACAGATACACATAGGGTCTGGCACTGGGTCTCAGTGCCACCAATGCTTGCTGCAGCTCCAGTCTCACTCCAGAATGAATCCTATTGTGATCCGCTCACAGCGCCCTCCCCAAGAGGGGATGAAGGAAGATGAAGATGGGCATGGGAACGCTGCCCCAAGGTGGGCAGGCTGCACAAAGATCATGAGAACCAAGGGCTTCCTGGTCCCACTGGGAGCTTAGCATCTCTATGCGGAACTCTGACATTTTCCTGTGAGCCCCAGTGATGCGAGTAAAAGACCTTCCTGGTGCTTGAGGGCCCATGCATGACCTCTTCCCTCCACATTCATGTACGCATCACTGGACACCGAGTTCTGCAGCGTCTTAGGGCCCCTGCCAGGCCTGGGGTCTCTGTCCTGCAACTGAGCTGCATTCAGGGGGACCCTGTGTCTGATGACTGCTGCCCTGGGATGGGGAAATGAATGAGCAAGCGAACCAGTCTCACGGACAAGTTAGTGATCCTCCTGTCCCAGTGCTGGGGGATCAGAGCCTTACAGCCTCTGGGTGTGGCACCAAAGACCTCATCCTGATGGGACATTGCTGCGCACAGGGAGAAAGGTGCTGGGCCTGCAGAATAGCGCTGCTTGAAAGAACACAATGCAGGCCAATCTGAGTTACATCGTCCAATAGCTGCCACATTAGTGAGAGTGAAAAGAGCCAGGCCAAAGTAATAATGTATCCGATGCAATCCATTATATAACAATTTCATTTCAACATGTCCTCAGTCTAACAATTATTAATGGAATATTTTACATTCTCTTTTTTGCCCATGTGTTTGAAATCCACTGTGTATTTTCCTCTTACAGCACATTTCATTCCAGACAAGCCACATTTCCAGGGCTCAAAACCACATGTGGTCAGAAACAGCTGTACTGACCAGCTTAGCTACAGAGCCTCTGATTATTATTTAAGGAAAACTATGTTGTATGGGGTTTTTTTTGTGCTTTATGGTTTTAAGGGTTTTCTAAGGTTTCTTCAATGAACACGAATTAGGTTGATCATCAGGGAAAGGGTGACTTGTTTAAAGCTGATCTACTGTGTTGCTGGTGGGTTTCTATTAGACCCTTTTATTATTTAAGGAAAAGTGGCCAATTTGTCAGATTTTCATCTGTGCTGAACAGATGTGAAGAAAGCCACCTTTACCTAGAGGCCTGTTGGAGGCACATTCCTAAAATATTTTTATTTTATTTTCTTTATTTTTTTGGTCCTGGGGATTGAACTTGGGACCTTGCACATTCGAGGCAGGCAGCAGAACCACTGAGCTAAATCCCCTGCCCTGACAGAGTAGTCTTTAATTACCAAGCAGATCTGGTTACACAGCTGCAGGGCTGGGGTGGTGGAAGGGAGCTCAGCACTTCCCCGCAGAGGAGGCTCTGGACATCAGGGTGCCCTCCTGCCACCCTTAGGTGAGGGGTTGGCAGGCACACGCCACCCACTTCACCATGGTGGAAATGATGACGCTGTTGGGAGTGAGCGAGGTCAAGCGCTGGTGTGTCCGGTGGTGTCTGACCCTGGACACAGTCCCTGGACAGCGGAGAAGTGAGAGACGAGTCAGGGCCAGGAGAGCCCGGGACAAGGGGCTGTGGCAGACTCATCCTCCCACCCTGTAGACTGGGGGTTCGTTCTGTCAACATCGACGCAGTTCACAAATTTGTTCATTCCAATCCCCTGACCTCTCATTTGCTCCCACCCTTCCTCCTTTCCCTTCCCAATCAGCTTCCGCCTTCTATATGCCTCCTAATTGTCTTCCTCACCTCCATTTTTATCTGCCTCCCTCACCCTCCCCACAGCTGCAGTGTCAGCCCCAGGCTATTTTATTATAGTTTGATAGCTCCAGATTTTCATGCCCTAAAATGATGGGAAAAGAGAGCCTCAGGGCTCAGGGAAAAACACGTGGATTGAGCCAATTTTCTGCATCTTGTGGCATCAGTAAGTACACTCACATGTATGTGTGTTTGCACACACACACTGCCCTATCTCGTCCCTCAAGGGGATGGACTCAAACTTGTGACCTCCTCCCTCCCTGTGGTTCCCAACCCCTCCACCACAAAGGCCCCCTGAACACCAGTGTTGAAGGTGCTAAAGCTCAGCATGGCCTAGATGCTCCCAGCCCCCCGGTCATATGGAACTCAAAGCCACAGGCTGTCCCTGAGTGTCACAGGCAGGCCCCTCCCTAAAAGATCTTGGCCTCCTCCAGCTCTTCAGAGATGCAGCTCCCCTGTTTTCTAAGTGTGAACCTTTGTGTCTGACATCAGACTTTCTGGAAACCCAAATGTCCCCTAGGATTTTCCCCATGGGATTTCCACAGGCACCCTAAGCCGCTTGGGGAAGTTTACATGGTTATGCTCCATTCTAGATGGGATCCCCTGGCTGCAGCATCCTGAGGGGTCTGGATAGCTCCTGCCTCTCTCCCCAGGATGCAGCAGCTGCCCCAAGCTCAGCCATGTCCTCACACAGCCCGAGTTCTTCTCTGTCGCTCTGCAGATCCTCTCCTGGGCCTTCCAGCCCATTTCAGAAGTAGAAGCCAGTGGGCCTTGGTCAGTGAAGCCTCAATCCTCTCCACAAGGAAAGCAAGGACAGAGAGACTTCGAAGGCCGGGATGGAGCTGGCCCTGTGTGGTCTGACCCATGCAGACCCTTTCCTGAAGGGACCTCAGCAGGTGTGTGGGGGGGTGTAGGGGTCCTGAGACATAGAGAGAGAAACCAACAGGGCTCACCCAGCCTTTGTGAATGGCTCTGCTCCCTGACCCTGGGGCCAGATGGGGTCTGCAGAGAAGCTGCCTTCCCTCCCTAATGCTACCTACCAGTTGCAGCTTGGTTCACCACAGGGACCAAACAGAGGTCTATGTCCCCTTAAATGGCCATGGGGACACCCCCACCCTGCCCCTGGTTTAGATGGAGCAGGGCTGGGCAGATGATCTGAGGGTGCCAGGGCAGGCACTGAATCCTTGTTTGCTGCAGTCAAAGATCCTTGGAGTTAGAACCCCCTTCCTGCTTGGGTCTGAGGCTTCTGTTCCAATGCCACCTGTGTGTGGTCTTCCCTGGCCCAGTTTCTGGCTGCCTTTGCTTCCAAACACCTTTGATCTGCCTGTTTGTTCTGTCTCTGCCCCAGGAAGGCAGGGACCTCAGTCTGCCCTTTTCCCTGCCTTCTGGCAAGTGAGAGGGATACACACTGTTACTTGAAAGAGTGAGTGAATGAATGATGTGTGCATTGTTGGTGTCCACAGATCCAAGCACAGAGCTATTGTACCTAAGCACTGTGTCCCTACAGGTCAGTTTTTAGGTCACTCCAGCAGCCCTGGAGCCTGAGGGAGGCCATGGAATCTCCACAAATGGGATCTCCCCAGTATAGCCGCCTTGTCTTAATATTTTCAAGCTATTGGCGAAGCTGTGAGGCCACTGATGGCAGCTGCCCCCAAAGTCCCATTGAAGCCAGGCCTGACAGGCCTTAGGGTTCTGCCCAGGGAGGAGTGGGCTGGGCCCTCTGGGCAGGATGTGACCCTCTGCAGCAAAGTCAGCATGCTTAGCAAGGTCATATTGTGTGCAGCCCTGAGGGAAAGACAGACCGCAGTGTGGAGCTGAATGACGGGTCAGCCAGGAAGCCAGAAACCAACGCACGGCCTACAGAAAAGTGCAGGGAAAAGAAGGAAAGGGCACAGTAAGAGAGAGTGGCCGGTTTCTCAGCTGAGCCCTGAAGGGTCTTTGGGAATCAGGAAGATGAAGATGGGGAAGGGAACGCTTTCCCCCCAGGCCTGGAAGAGGCAGGTGCAGGGCAGGAGACAAGGCGGTGGGGACAAAGGTGGGCAGGCTAGGCTGCTCCTGCATCCACCCCTGCACCTGTGGGACATGCCCCAGCAGCTTCTACGTGACTACAGGTGTTGAGAAGAGCCGTGAGCGCACCACTCCTGACACCAGCCCTGCAGAGCTAATGTCCACATGGGACAGGCAGACCAGCCACAAAAACCTAAGTGAGCCACACAGCACCAGGGACATTAGGTCAGGTCAACCCCAGCATGGTGGGGGGGGGAGCGGGGGTCAGAAGTGCCCAGAAGGTGGGGATGGCAATTTCCCACAGTGGCCAGGGCTGGCTGCCAAGGGGACATTCATAGCCTTTCAGGATGGAGGATGGGGGGGCCAGCTGGGACTTTCTTTGTTTTGTACTAGGGATTGAACTCAGGACCTTGTGTTTGCCAGGCAGGCACAGTGCCACTGAGCTAAATCCCTGGCCCTGGGACTCATTTTTTATGCAAATAAAAGGGTGATTAGTAAGCAAGGCAGTCTCTTCTTTGTAATGGCAAAGGGTACCCTGGATGGAGGCAGCTTAGGCCCAGCACAGACATGGACGTGGCAGTGCCCATCACTCCCTCTGGGTGCCAGTGGGCGCCTGGCCCTCATGCTTCCTTGTTTGGTCCTGTAAGGCTGGGCAGGCATCTCCTCGGCTGCACCAATAGCACCCATGGGCCTGACTGGTAGCACAGTGGTGCTTCTCCTGCCTGATCACCAAGGCTGTGCCCAGGTGGCCTCTGGGGTCTTTCGGTCCTCTGTGGAGTGGCATGTCACAATGGCCAGGGCTGGCCAGACCTCTGCACCTGGACCTGTCTGAACCCTACTGCAGGGTAGGCCTCCCCATGCTGTTCCTGGGAGAGGCCAGTCAGAGCTGCATCTGTCACCCCCCTCCCTATGAGTCATCAAGGAGGGGACTGTGCTTGTCCCTGCACATAGTAGGTGCTCAGCAAAGGTTGGTGGGAGAGATTGGTCCAGAGGACAGTTAAACACTTTTCACTCACTTCTGAGCATGGAATTTTCCAGAGACTCCGATGATCAGGGCCAGGCACAGACCTCCTCCCTCTGACTCCTACATCCCCACAGGGTGACTGTGGATGAGGCAAGTAAGTCTTGGGATCCCCACTTCAGACTCAGTCCCAGTGGTGGACTAAGATGTGGAGAGGACTGTGGAGACGGAGTGCACAAGGCACAAACATAGCACCGCTCAGCAGGAATACCGAGGTGGAGCAAATGGGCAAGGGGGCTGGAGGGGATGTGGTCAGAGAGGAAGGTGGGCAGGCCTGCAGGACCCCCTGGGTGGGGAGAGGTCTCTGCAGGTAGCTCCCATGGGCCCGGATGCAGCTGACAGACTGCAGGGCTGTGCCTGGTTTCATGGGCTGGGCGGGGCCCAGGATCTGCATTTTAGCAGAGGACCTCAAGTAAGTGTCAGATCAGGGACAACATGGTAATAAGCAAGGCTCCTTCAACAATGGCCTAACCCAGAGGAGCCTGGGACTCCTCTGACAGAGACCTCACCACCTCTGGAAGCAGCTGCTCAGTCCTGGAGTAGCTCTGGCTCTTTCACAGAAAGTCAAAGGAAGCCTGCTCTAAGGAACCCATCCCACTTCTAGGCTGGAGTCACACAGACTGCTTCACCAGAGAGATAACACAGAGGTTTAGTCAGCTGTCATAAAGCTCCTTCCTCTCCAGCTCAGCAGGCCCAGCTCCCTCTACTCCCTGGTCTTGGCCAGGTTCAAGATCACTCTCAACCATATATTTTCAAAATCCTTTGTGCTGGAACGTGGCCAGTATGCAAACTAAGCGAGGACTTGGAGTTAGCAGCTTACATGTGTGATTGCCAGGACTCTGGTGAGTCCCTTCCAAGATCAACCTCCTCCAGCCCTCCCCCATTTGCCTGTAATTTCCTCACATGTCTGTAATGTAGCACTAAGCTTTTCGTTCCCGTTCCCCAGTGAGACTTAGCAAATATCCAGAAAAAAGGCAACAATTGGTCTATTTCATACTAATGTATACACTACTTTCTTCTCTTCCAGCAATGCAACCAGCATTAGGCCCAGGGGCATGTGGGAATGGGGAAAGGGGAGAAAGGGAAGAACTTCCCATGGCAAAGGGAAAGGACAGAAGGAAGAGGTTTGGAGGAAGAGGAACAAAGAAAACGTTTATTTGCTGCTGATCTGTCCTGGACTGACCCACCCCTGCCCTGCCCACTGCCCTGACCTCCATGGAGCCGGCACAACCAGATCTGTCTGATCTGGGAAGCAATTTTAAAGATCACCCAGGTCCAGGATGTCCATCTGAACAATCTCTCCAGAGCAAAACCAGGACTAAAAACAAAGGAGAAAAAGTTTAAGACCCACAAGGGGCCACACAGGGACTGAGCAACCTGTTTTTCAGATAAGCATCTGATCTTAGAAGTTTTCCTTCTCATCTGTGCTGCTGAGGCCCCATAGTGGGGGTTGGGAGGTGGAGGTCAGACCTGGGCTCTTCCCGAAACATGTGCTGGGCACACAACCAGAGCTGGCTGAGGGGTCGCCACCTCCAGCTTTGGGGCAGAGGCCCTGGGACCCCCAGCCACTGGACAGATCTACCCCTCCATGCTGGATGCACAGAGCCTGGTGGGGGAGGAAGAATCCTTGATGTTTCGCCCACTTCCTTCCTTTGCCAAACCATAAATCCACGGCAGGGCCAGAGAATCCTCTTGGTTGAGCCCAGTTGTGAAAACAACCTCTGTGTGCTGGGAAAGAAATGGTGCACACATCCCCCACACTCCCCGATCCACTCCCAAAGGATGAAGATCTTTTTCCCAAATAAAGAAGAAAGAATCAAAGAAAAGAAGGGGAAGGAAGAAAGAAAAAGAAAACCAGGAGAAAGGAAAGAAGAGAGTAAGATTTGGTGAGAGAAAAGAGCAGACCGAACCTCTGAGAAGAGAGCGAGAATATGGCCTAGGGGCTGAGGTCATTTCTAGGTGCTGCTAGGGACCTGATACTGACTCATCAAAAAATGACCTGAAGGGAGACAGAGTCTTGCCTTGCACGACTGGATTGTATTTCTCCAGGACAAATGAAGGAGGGTCTGAAGAAGTGGGTGGGTGGGATTCGGAATCCCCATTCTGTGGAGGATCACAATGGTGCTCTTAGGGGAGGAGCCTTTCTTTGTCATGAGATAGCAAGAAAATATCAGGTTAGACACTTGGGGACAGCGCTCCTTCCTGGCTAAGGGGAATGACCATGTGGCACGACTTCCATTAACATAAATTCATCTTTAAGAAACGCAAAGATTGCTCAGTTAAAATGCATGCTCTGGTCACTGGCCACAGTGGGGCTTGGATTGTTCTGATAGAATCATGAGTCTGGGCCGCGGAGCTGGAATTCTGGCTATCTTAGGGAACATTCTCTGTCCCCCCATCTCACTCAGCAAACACACATGTCAGGTGCACTCTCGCCTGGGATAGGCTGCTCAGTTTTTATTCTGTTTTCAAAGAAATGCAAGTCCTCCCTAAGAAAAGCAAGACTCACTGGGAACCACAACAGCTGAGATCCAATTACAATTACTTTGCATGTCAGAATACAGAGCCAAATAAGTAAGAATCAAGAAAAATAACCAAACAGAATGGCAACAGGGACATACTGACAGTAGACTCAGATGTTGGGGTTGTGGGCACATCCAGTTAAATGCTGGAGAAAGTAAATGAGAAGATGGGGAATTCCACCAGAGAACTGGAATCTACAAATACAATCAGACAAGAATTTTAATGCTGAAAATAGAATGCAAACGATAGACAAAACAGCAGATAAGACAGAGTGGAAGAGATCAGTAAATGGAAAGATAAGTCGGTAGAAAATATTAAAATTGCAGCACAGAGAGAAAAAAAGATGTAGCATATAGAAGAGTTCATGAGGGCAGACAATTCACATGAACATTTACCTCTGCACTGGAGCTCTGGGGAAAGAGAAGGGGGAGAACAGGGCAGGAGCAGTGTCTGAAAGAGTCTGACCCAGAATTTCACGGAGCTGATTAAAGACATCAGGCTGTATTGAGTTATGGACATGAGTAGCTCTATGAAACCCAGGCAAGTGCATACAGGACACCACAGGGAAGCTCGTTAGAGCCACAAGGGTGAAAAAGAAAGGCAAGAGAAGAATCTTCAACACAGCCAAAGAAAAACAACATTTAACAGATCTGCAATAAGGTGATTGGCTGAATTTTTTTGGCGGGGGGTACTGGGGATCGAACTTGAGTCCTTGCGCTTGCGCAGCAGGCAGCAAAACCACTGAGCTAAATCCCCGGCCCTTGGCTAACTTTTTGATAGCCAAAGACAATAGAGTGACATACAGTCATGCTGGGGACTTTGTCTGGAGAAATGTGCCTTTAGGTGATGTAGTCATGGTGTGACCCTCATAGAGTACACTTCACCTAGACTAAGAGGGCTGCATCAAGGGATCCCTGTCCTAAATGTGGTTTTTCATGAACTGAACCACTATTTGATGCATGACTATTAAAATTGCTGAAACAAAATAATTTTGAACTAAGGGTTCTGTATCTGGAGAAATCTTCCAAACATGAAAGTGAAATAAAGATGTTTTCAGATGAACAAAAACTAATAGGATTCATTGCCAGCAGATCTACACTGAAAGAAATACTAAAGTGAGTTTCAGAACAAAGGAAAATAATCTCAAAGGGAAGTTTAATAAGGTAAAAAGGAATCAAGAACTCTAGGAAGAGAAAAGATGCAGTGAAGTCTCAATAAATTTTGATTAAAAGTTGGGCTGGGGATTTAGCTCAGTGGTTCTGGTGCCTGCCTCGAAAGTGCAAAGTCCGGAGTTCAATCCCTGGTACCCCCCCCAAAATAAATTTTGATTAAGTTACCAATAGTATGAGTGGGGGTTAAAATAGGAGTGGAATTAATGCAAGAATAAAATAACACAAAAAGTAAAGATGGACAAATGGAGTTAAGGGCATTTAAGTTTTCTGCATTGTCTAAAAGTTGTTGAAGCACTATTGTAAGTCAGGCTTTAAAGATTCAGGGATACATGTCAGAATTATTAGGGTAACCACCAGAAGAAGAATAAAAGAATGTAAAACTAAGCTAATAGAGAAACTGTAGTTTAAGAAATAATTGACTGGTGAGGTGTGGTGGTGTATACCTGTAATCCCAGCTACTCAGGAGGATTGAAAACAAATAAATAAATAGTTAAAAAAAAAAGGCCGAGAGTGTAGTTTGGTGGTAGAGCACTTTCCTAGTATGCATGAAGTCCTACATTCAGTTCCTAGTACAATAGAGAGAGAGAGAGAGAGAGAGAGAGAGACAGAGAGAGAGAGAGACAGAGAGAGAGAGAGACAGAGAGAGGAGAGATTCAAAAACTATGGACAAATATAAAACATACACAGTGGATGTAAATCTAAATATATCAATAATTATAATAAAAATAAATGAGCAAATATTCCAGTTAAATGACAAAATTATCACAAGAATTTTTTTTTTAAAATCTGAACTATATAAAATTTTTAGAAGCCACACTTTAATATAAAGACACAAAATTGTTAAAACTCAAAGGATGAAAAAGATACATACCACATGAATACAATCAAAAGGAAGCTCCACTAGGTAATATACTAATATCGAGTAAATTAGATTTCAAAATAAAAAACATTACTAGAGTTGAAGAGGGACTTTTTTTAATAGTACATCAATTCAACTGAAAAATAAAAGGTTTTCTTTCTCCTTTTTAGAACAAGAAAAATAATCTCAAATGGAAGTTAAATAAGATAAAAAGGAATGAAGAACTCTAGGAAGAGAAAAGGTGCAAAATTTCAAAGAGAAATTTTGATTGTGTGTGTGTGTGTGTGTTACTGAGAATTAAATCCAGGGCCTTCACCTCAGCCCTGCCCCTTTAAATTTTTTTTGGTACTGGGGGTCTGGACCTTGTGCTTGCGAGGCAGGCATGGTGCCACTGAGCTAAATTCCCGGCCTTAATTTTTTTTTTTAATTTTTGAGACAGGGTCTTGTTAAATTGCTAAGTTGCCCAGGCTAGGCTTATACTTACAATCCTCTTGCTTCGTCCTCCAAGAGTACTGGTATTACAGGTGTGCACTGCCATGCCTGGATTAATATTTTGAACTGGATACAATGAAAATATAAATATTTTATCAGATCAGTGTAGCTAAAGCTGTGCTTAAAGAAAGAGTGTGGCCCTAAGTGCATTCCAGCTCCAAAATAAGAAGGGTGAAAATCCACCACCTAAGTTTGTATCCCTTCAGATTGCAAGGTGTCCCTTGTCTGGGACAGCAAGGCATTCCCAGAGTAGAAGGAAGTAAATATTAAAGGCAAGAATGGAAGCAAATGATTTAGAAAACAAATATATAATAGTGTAATTGACAAAACTAAAAGTCCATTTTTTGAAAAGACTAATAAAATCAATGAAACTCAACAAAGACTCAGACCTACCCCTAATATGACTGGAGGCTGAATCCATATGTCTAAATATTTAAGTTATAAATCAAGGTAACAAGCTATCAAATAAAACATTTCCTATCCTTCCATTTTGATGAATATGCCTTTGTATAACAGAGAAGATGGGGTTCAAGTTTATAGCTCTCAGATACCTTGGAAATCTGTACCTGAAGATAGGGTGACGGTGCCTATCCCCCAATCTGGCCATTCTGCACCAACCTAGTCATGAGAAACACAGTTTTGATTACAGCCCCTCACCCCTGGCTGCTGCTTTGCTCCCTGCTGGGCCTGTACCATGTGTCCATGGTCAGTACGGAGAAGACAGACTGAGGACAAAGATGAGCAGGGGTCGGGAGGCAATGTGGGCAGGGGTGCTAGTGCCCAGAGTTTTTAGGCATGGTCTCAAAGAAGAAATGTAGGCTCTAGTGGGCTGTGTCCTCAGCCCACAGACTTTATACTTATGAGGAAGAGGAGAAGGACCAGAGCAGGGTTGGGACCACTCTTGGCTGGCCCATGGGCAGCACTGACAAGCACAGCAGAAAATAATCAACAGCAAGCATGAGGAGGCCGACATTACTACAGACCCCACAGACACAAACAAGACAATGGAGGACATTAGGACAACCACATGCAGATACAGTGGAAATTCCAGGTGAATAGACCATGTTCTAGGAAACCACAACCACCCAGGTTTTCATAAGAGGAAATAATGAATCCACTAGTCTATTTTATGCCTAGAAAGTAAATCTGATTCCTAATTACAGTCTTTTTCCCAAAGAGAACTCTAGGTGCATCTGGCTCCAGTGAAATTTTCTAACCATTTCAGGAAGAGACAACAATAATCTTTTACAAACTCTTCCAGGAATAGAGCAGGACCATTTCCCAATCAATTTTAACTTGAAAAGAATATTTCAATAAGAAACAACGTCCATTGTAAACCACATATAAAAACCCCATAAGAAAGTATCAGCAAGCCAATTCCATTAGAAAGGGAATATAATATAGTATTATGATCAACTTGAATTTATTTCTGGAATATAAAGTTGGTTTGTTATTTAAAAAGTAACAAGATACTGGAAATAACAAATGATCATTTCAGTAGATGTTGCAAAGGTATTTGCTATATCCTGGGGTACAGCTCAGTGGTACAGCACTTCCCAGCATAAGTGGAGCCCTGGGTTCCATTCCTTGCAAAAAAAAAAATTGGCAAAACTTGACACCCATTTATGATAAAGCCTTAGCAAAGTTACAAGAAATGAAACCTACAACAATATCATGGTAAGCAGTGAGCTGATGATAGCTTTCTCCTGAAGCTGTGATTGGAACACAAATGTCTGCCATCTCTGCTTCTATTCAACATTGTGCAGGATGTTTTAGGGGGACAGAAAGCAAGGGGGGAAAAAAGAGCTTTGGATTGCAAAGGAAATAAAAACCTGACATTATCTAATAAATAACATAATTCTGAGTGGAGAAAACTCAGATAAACTATCAGAATTAATAAATTAGGCAAGATCAGCAACTATATGATTTATGTTCAAAAGTCAGTTGTTCTTCATACTAGAAACAAACAAAATCTTAAAAAACTTATGCTTTTTAAAAAAGCATCAAAAGATTAAATACCTAAGAACAAACAAAAGATATACATGACTTCAACAAAGAAAGCTACCAAACATTACCAAGAAATTCTAAACAGATAGAGGGACATTCTAGGGTCCCGGGTTGGAAGACTTAACATAGGATGCCTGTCAACATAGGATGCCTGTCAATTCTCCCTAGGTTGATCTCCATCTATAGATTCAATGTAACTCCAGAAGGGGTGTGAGTGTGTGTATGCAGATGTGTGTGTAACAGAGAGAAGACTGGCAACCTGATCCTAAAATTTACATGGACATGAAAAAGACCAGCAATAGTAAAGACAATCTCAATGCAAAGGCTATAGGACTTGTATTATCTGATATGAAGTTATTGAGCTATAATAATTAAGGCAGGGCCAGGGATTTAGCTCAGTGGTTTTGCTGCGTGCTGCACAAGCGCAAGGACCCGAGTTCGATCCCCAGTACCAAAAAAAATTAAAAAATTAAAAAAAAATAATTAAGGCAGTATGGTATTAATGCAAGATAGATACACAGATAAATGGAATAAAGAAGAGGGTTCAGAGACAAACCTGTATGTATTCTGTTATTCAATTTACTATCAAGGTACTGGTACAATGCAAGAGGGGAAAGGAGTACCTTTAATACGTGATGTGGCATCAGTGAGCAGAAAGCCAAACCAAGACCCCTTCCTCACACCATAGTCTATTCCAGATGCATGAAATCCAACAACAAGGCTTCTAAAAAAGACCATAGGACACTATCTTCTGACCTTAGGATGGACAGACATTTCTTAAACAGGAAATAAAAACAGAAACCACAAAGGGAAGATTGATAAACTATCCTCTGTTAAAATCAGGAACTTCTTTTGGTCAAGGACATCACTAAGTACAGGAAGAGGTGAGTCACAGAGTGTGGGAGATATTTAAAATACAGAGAAGCCTCAAAGGACTTGATCCACAATATATGTCACTGTTACAGAGGAACAGGAAAAGGAAAATAGTCCATTTAAAATGATTTGGACAAATGTGTCTTCTGCAGAGGCCATCGTAAGTGTCAGAGAAATGGGACTTAAAACTAGGAGAAACCACTGTCCACTCCGCAGAGGGCTCCAAAGTGAACCAAAACAAACCCCAAACCGAACACTGACAGTACAGGCACCAGGAGGTCGGAGGTTACTGGACACCTCCTGGAGTGTGGACCCAGGTTCCTGCTGGGGAAAACTGTCAGGTGACACCCACCAAAGCCGGAAGTGAGTGTGGCGACCCGTCAATCTCGCTCCTAGGGATGAACCTACTGGAGGGCATGTGGGTGCTCACTAGCAGACCAGTTCAGGTGGGCTCTGTGGCTCCATTCATCACACCCCTCAACTGGAAACAACCCACATGCCCACCCACAGGAGAACTGCGATTGGTCACACAGCAGAAGCTATCATAGCAACCAGGATGAGCAACTTTTATATGCAGCCATGTGGATGAACCTTGGTCACAATGCTGAGCAAAAGCCTGATGCCACTGAGCCCAAGAGAAGGACCCTGAGCTGTGTGGTAAAGGGTGGGCAGGTGGTGACTGGGGTCTTCCTGGGGGGCTTTGGGGAGCTAAAAATGTTGTCCAGTGTGATCTCAGTGATGATCATCAGATGCATCAAGCTATGAAATTATGATGTATGCACTTTTGTTCATTTTTGCCTTCAATAAAAATATTTCTCCCCAAGTTAAAAAAAAAAATATCTAAGATGATGGTAGGTTACTCCAGAAGTACAAGTAAATGCTGGCTTTGGTTATCAATGTGCTATGTGACTTCTCTTAAGAACATCCAAACATGTCCTCTCTCTTAGTTTTCCCCACAGTGCTGCTAATATCCTTATTTGCCAAATGAGGAAATGGAGGTCAGAGATGTGATGCTGAGAGGGTGGGGTGTGGCCCGCAACTGCACTTGGAGCTGCCCCCTTGTGGGGAGGAGGGTCCTGGACAAGGCATCATAATTCCAGCCTCACCAGCAGTGGGACCAGGAATGCGTTGTCACCGAGGATGAGGATTGGAATCTTGTCATTATGTCACTTGCACCCTGAGCAGGATACTGGAGTTTGCTGGTGAAGGAGCCTATGCAGGAGGAGCATTTCCATCAGGCAACATTCAAGTGAGTTTCCCAGAATGCAGCTTGTCTTCTCCAGGGATGGGGGAATTGTTCCTACCAGCCTGCAACACAGATAACCTGGGAGTTTATGGAAGACCAGGGGGACACTGCTTCCTCATCATTGGCTCATTCCTTCCTTCATTCTTTGCAACAGTTATCCCTACTATTATCTTTTAGCATTTATCTAGGGAGGTAAATCCAAGACTAATATTTTAAAAATCCATCCAGAGTGCCCTTTCCTGGAACAGCTCAAATCACCACTTGCTGAATCAATGCACCAACTATCATTTATTCCTTGCCAACTTCGTGACAGCATCGCCCTTTACACTGGTTTTTTTGGTTGTTTTCAGGACAGCCTTTGAAGCAGAGGCTATCAGCATCTCCATTTGACAGAGGAAGAAACTGAGGCACAGGAAGGGGAAGTCAGCCTGCACAAGGTCACGTCTGTTGGCTGCAAAGCCAGAGAACCCTTCTCCTCTTCTGTTGGGTGACAGGAAGTGGTGACAAGGCGTTGGCAGCAAGAGCTGAGATTCTGATCCCATTTTGTGCCCAGTGGTAGCTTACCAGCTGAGCCAAGTGACTGGGACCTTTGTGAACTTCAGATTTCCAACCCCAGGCATCGTAGCCAATTCCCCACAGACAACACCATTAATCAATCACAGGCTTTCACTAGTGGCAGCAGCCG